GCCATGGCATCAAGTATTAAACTAAATTATTAAAAGTAGATAATTCAAAACACTGTTGTTACTGATTCAGTTTATTAATGTACAATCGCGTCCGACACTCTACGTCTGACTGTGACTGTGAATGTGACAAGATCACTAGCAGGTATTCTGCTGTGTCTAGTGTCTGATGTTCTGCTGCATCCAGTGTCATTAGTTTGTGGCACCCATTAAGGAGAGATTCTCTGTAATCTAAGCTCTAACTGTCAGGACTGGCTGGTATTTCCGTACGCCTCCTGTCCAATAAATATCTCACCTTCAGTGAATGTCCAGTGCAGCGGTGGCCTTCCCGCTTGTTACTTGATTCTTTCCAGCCTATCTTATTACCTTTGGCTTCAAACAGGCCAGTTTTGCTATTTGAGCAAACTGGGAATGACATTTTACCCGGATCTAATTACTTTTTCGGTTCCTATGCCGGTTCCCTTGTATTTCCAGATGCCTTAGTATTTCCAGATTCCTGACAAACACTTCCAACTGACACATTTGACACGACTGGTTTTTGAAGAATATACAGAAACATTGATTTATTTAATTGGTGTTCTTTTCAATAACTACATTTTGCTATTTTGGCAACGATCGGCGGACCACTTACTAGGCCTCGGCGGGCCAGATTTGGCCCGCGGGCCGCCAGTTGAATAGCCCTGTTCTACATTGTAGACCTTGGTGACCTGTCTGACAGCTGGCATTCTACATTGTAGACCATGGTGACATGTCTGACAGCTGACATTCTACATTGTAGACCATGGTGACATGTCCAGCAGCTGGCATTAACATTGTGGACCTTGGTGACATGTCCAGCAGCTGACATTCTACATTGTAGACCATGGTGACATGTCTGACAGCTGACATTCTACATTGTAGACCATGGTGACATGTCCAGCAGCTGGCATTCTACATTGTAGACATTGGTAACATGTCCCGCAGCTGACATTCTACATTGTAGACCATAATGTCATGTCTGACAGCTGAAATTCTACATTGTAGACCATGGTGTCATGTCGGACAGCTGACATTCTACATTGTAGACCATGGTGACATGTCTGACAGCTGACATTCTACATTGTAGACCATGGTGACATGTCTGACAGCTGACATTCTACATTGTAGACCTTGGTGACATGTCTGGCAGCTGACATTCTACATTGTAGACCATGGTGACGTGTCTGACAGCTGACATTCTACATTGTAGACCATGGTGACATGTCTGACAGCTGACATTCTACATTGTAGACCATGGTGACATGTCTAGCAGCTGGCATTCTACATTGTAGACATTGGTGACATGTCTGACAGCTGACATTCTACATTGTAGACCATGGTGACATGTCTGGCAGCTGACATTCTACATTGTAGACCATGGTAGCATGTCCGGCAGCTGACATTCTACATTGTAGACCATGGTGACATGTCTGACAGCTGACATTCTACATTGTAGACCATGGTGACTTGTCTGGCAGCTGACATTCTACATTGTAGACCATGGTGACATGTCTGACAGCTGACATTCTACATTGTAGACCATGGTAACATGTCCGGCAGCTGACATTCTACATCAGGGCTATTCAACTAGGTTTGCACGCGGGCCAAAATGTTGAACATGGAGACCGTCGCGGGCCAGTGGCCCGAGCCCACACTAAAATTGACAACATTTTAAATCTGTAGATTGAATAGACTCGAAAATTATAGGCCTAGGACGTAGCCTTAATAAATGTAGCAGTGTTGTAAACCAATATAATGTAAAGTGTACTACAATCTTCTGTAATGACTAATACTCATTTTTAATTCTTCTTCTTCGTATTCATCAGCTGTAAACTGCAGCGGAAAGTTGTGGTTGTGCGTCTACTTCTGGACTCTAGTCCCGTTCCAGAAACTGAGTGTTGCGTACAGATCCGTTTAACACGTCTTACTCATTTGCATGCAGACTAGGTTCCTTGGCTCTCAGGCAGATATACTCCGACTTCGAAGAAAGCTCTTAATTAGTTGACTCTTGCGACATTTTTTTGGGTAGCCAGTGGGTCTGGTCTCGTTTCCCCACAATAGGGCCCCTGAACCCACAAGAGTATCACTTTTAATTGTAATAAGCCTATTTCCAACTTGTCGTTGGGATCATAAATAAACGTTACCATTGTCACAATAATAATAATAACTGTCCACAGTTGGTTTCATGTTCTGCAGAAAAAACCGAAGGGTATAACTATAACGATGCAAAATGTAATTAATGGGAAATGCCGCATTTTCGTTTTTGAGCTAATTTTGCCAAATTTAGCTGGTGAGAAGTTAGATCAATTCTTATGCAGTCCTGCAGCCTATCGTTGCTCAGTGAGCTTCGACTGTTTGTCTTGATGACATTCATGTGTGAGAAGCTTGATTTACAAGTGCAAGTTGAGCCAAACATGGTGAGTATGAATACAGCATGTTTTCTAGCATTAGGGAACTGCTTCTGTTGAATCCTCTCGTTCCAAAACTTGGACTGTAGCATTTTCTTGAAAATCTTCATTCACTGTGCTGGAACTTTGGATATCCACAAGTTCTAACTACAGAGAACCTTCATCAACAGAGGGTATCAACTTCTTAGCACTGGAACAAAAATCACAAGCGGGGGGGGGGGGGGGGGGGGGGGGGGATTTTAAAAGGACCCCGAACAAATAGCATTACATTGTTTGGGATATTGAAGTCGTCAAATCTGTTGTGTAAATCATTCTGAAGTTTTTCAAGATATTTATATTCTATCGGTTAAGGTTGCCGAGTCAAGTGTTTAAGAAATAAAATAGCAAGCATACTGGTTTCGAACTTGGCAGAGTTTGTGATAAAAATAAATATTTCAGTATCCAGTCACTGCTGAATGCACGATTTTCACATTCCCACTTACTAGTGCTAGCCATGGCATCAAGTATTAAACTAAATTATTAAAAGTAGATAATTCAAAACACTGTTGTTACTGATTCAGTTTATTAATGTACAATCGCGTCCGACACTCTACGTCTGACTGTGACTGTGAATGTGACAAGATCACTAGCAGGTATTCTGCTGTGTCTAGTGTCGGATGTTCTGCTGCATCCAATAGCATTAGTTTGTGGCACCCATCAAGGAGAGATTCTCTCTGACATTCTACATTGTAGACCATGGTAACATGTCTGACAGCTGATATTCTATATTGTAGACCATGGTGACATGTCCGGCAGCTACCCATGAATTTGACAACACTAAGGATCTCATGCCTCCACTCTCACTCTGTCAGTATTTTATTACTATTGATGAGCATTCATGCTACATTAACGCCAGGCTTAGAATTTTGCCAGTGCTTCTTTATGGAGCAGAATGCTTAAGAATGACCAAAAAGGAGGCACACAAGCTGTCCACCTTCCACCACACATGTCTACGTAGAATTATCAAAATTTTTCTGACCAGATACAATCTCAAACACTAAACTACTTCAAGTCACAAACCAAGAAACTTTAGACAGTATGATAACCAAGAGAAGATGGAAATGGCTTGGCCACGTTATGAGAATGAATCCTGATATACCTGCCAAAACAGCTCTCACATGGACACCAGAGGGAAAGAGAAAACAGGGGCGCCCAAAAACAACATGGAAACGAACGATGGAAAGTGACCTGAGTGCAGCATCTTTGACATGGAAAACTGCACTGAAGATTGCATAGGACAGGAAAGCATGGAAAGTCCTCTCTGAAGCCTCATGTGCCACTAGGCATAACGAGAACTGAGTAACCCATAGCTTCATTAACTCCTTACATACCAAAGTGATTCAGCATACAACAGCTGGGTGACCTGTAAGGGAAAGTCAGTTACATTATTTAAAAGAAATCTAGCTTTATTCAACTATTAATCATCGTCATCAGTATCGTCACATATCTTGCTCGCTTTGATATGTTTCACCACATCTTGACATCTCCCACAGCATGTATCAGTTCATGCATTGACATCTTTTCTTGTCAGGTCAAAAAGCTGTTAAGAATAATTTCTCAATGCCTTCTTTTCAATACATTTGTCCAGTTGTCCACTGTATATTACATTTTTCTCTTCTCATTATGTGATGAATAATAGTGACTGCCTCTGTCTGTTGTAACTTGTTTTATATCAGCTTCACTGAAAACACTTAGATTATCCATTTTTATTGCCAGGAAATGTAGGCATTCTTCTGTAAAACAAACACCTGTACGCAAAATAACTGTAATGTTTAAACACACTGGAACCAATACTCCATGTCCCAGATACATGTCCCTGATTCATGTCCCTGATACATGTCCCCGATACATGTCCCTGATACATGTACGTGATCATGTCCCTGATACACATCCCTGATACATGTCCCCAATACACATCCCTGATTCATGTCCCTGATACATGGCCCTGATACATGTCCCTGATACATGTCCCTGATACACGTCCCTGATACACATCCCGATGCATGTCCCCGATACTTGTCCCCGATACATGTCCCCGATACATGTCCGTGATACATGTCCCCGATACATGTCCCTGATACATGTCTCCAATACATGTCTCCGATACATGTCCCCGATACATGTCCCAGATACATGTCCTTGTGTGAGTTATGCTGCTTCATTTTGTGGAAGATTCACATGTTTCCTAACAAGCATGTCATACAAGGCGAATAAATCGGGTTTTTTCTTCCAATGAGAGTGCATCTGCCTGAAAGGTGAATAAACACCAGTGTGCATACATATAAGCCAGATTTGTGAAACGGATGTGCACACAAAACTTAAGTACTGGAACAAGACCAAGGCCTAGAAGTGGATGGACAACCAGAAGAACTTTCCAGGAGTTTACAGCTGCTGAATGTCAAGAAGAAGGAGAAGAGATTAGTGTCATGACCCACATGAGAACAGATCTTCAATCTGCAGAGACAGCTGGGGCACATTGTATCCGTAGTAGCTATTGACAGATACATGAAGCCTGCATCTGCTATTGTTTGTTGACAGTTCACAAGGCAGCAGCCATCATTCAGGCATACTGGCGAGGCTACCGGACTCGGCACTTCAATGCCCAAGTGGTCTCCATACGCAAAGAGATCAGAGCTCGGCGAGCAGAAGACCACATCTTGTTGCTGAGGCAGGATTTAGAGAGGTTGGTTTTGAAATTATGTCTCTGAATATAATTTTTTGGTGTATTGTCAGGTCTTGGTCAGATATGACTGAACTACCCTATAACAGTAGCCGGTACCACCTGTCTTCTGTTACACCGAATGCTGGGTGGTGTATACCAAACCTAATATCCCTTATTGTGCCAACGGCTTCGGGCAGAGTAGCGCATTGGGAAGGATACTAGCCTTATCCTAGGAAGAGGAAATGCAACCTGAAAACTTTATATTATGGCAGGGCAGACCAGGCCCTTTGCCTTGGCTGGCAGCTGGTCTAGGAAGGAAGCCCTGACAAGCAGACTGATAGAGCACTGCTCTTCTGATCCGGCAGCTTCTGCAACCTGCCTCGTTTCAAACATACTGGTTTTACCTTTCCTTTGGAGTAAACAAGGCAGGTCAAGGGAGGGATCATTATGCATGGGCAACATATGGTCTCTACATTATGCCGAGGCTTTGTGCTATGGAGAGGAGGAACATTTTCAACAGTTGTAGAAGTTGGTAATGCTGTTGATGAATTGGCTTCAGGAAAAGCCCCAGGCAGAGATGGAATTCCTATTGAAATCATCAGCAGTGGGAAAGACATCCTAACCCCACACATCCAACAGCTAATAACACCCTGCTGGCAAGAGGGACAGGTTCTGCAAGATTTCAAAGATGCAAACATCATAACTATGTACAAGAACAAGGGTGATCGGAGTGACTGCAATAACTACAGGGGAATATCACTGCTGTGTACTGTTGGAAAAGTGCTTGAAAGAATTGTTCTACTAAGACTCCAGATCTTGGGGGAACCACGTTTACACAGAGTCCCAATGTGGCTTTCGTGGGAACCGATCTACCACCGATATGATATTTTCATTACGACAGTTGCGGAAGAAATGCCGTGAACAAAATTAACCACTGTATGTTGCTTTTGTTAATCTTACCAAGGCATTTGATTTTGTATACGAAAAGGTCTGCACTGAAGAAGATTGGGTGTCCACCTACTCTACTGAGCATTATTGAGTCGTTCCACACAGGTATGAAAGGTACAATCAACTTTGATGGTGAAACATCGGAGGAGTTTTTAATCAAAAATGGAGTGAAGCAGGGGTGTGTACTTGCTCCTACCCTCTTTGGAATATACTTGTCATTTCTTTTGACACATGCCTTTTGAGATCAGGAGGGTGGTATTTTCATTCACTCTCTATCTGATGGCAGCCTTTACAATGCTCGCAGGCTGAAGGCCAAAACCAGGATGAGAAAAGTACTTATCAGAGAGCTGCTGTTTGCAGATGATGCCGCAATAACCACCCACTCAGAGGAGGAGCTGCAATGTTTACTATCTGCCTTTGCTGATGCGTGCTGTGAATTTGGACTAACAATCAGCAAAAAGAAGACAAAGGTTATGGTGCAAGGTGTTAATGACAGACCTACAGTCTACATTGACAGAGAAGAGCTTGAGACAGTAGACCATTTTACTTATCTGGGTTCCATAGTGAATAGTAAACTATCGCTGAACCAAGAAATCAACATCAGGATAGGTAAGGCAGCAACAGCAATGAGCAGATTGACAAAGAGAGTTTGGGAGAACAGAAAGCTCACAATTAAAACAAAAACCCTTGTCTATCAGGCTTGTGTTTTCAGCACTCTGCTTTATGGCAGTGAAACTTGGTCAACCTATTTGCACCAGGAGAGATGTCTTAATAGCTTTTACATGCGATGCCTAAGAAGAATACTTGGCATTAAGGACAAAATCACAAACACTGAGGTACTGGAAAGAGCAGATACTACAACAGTCTTTTCCATGCTCAGTCTACGAAGGCTCAGGGGCTGGGTCACACCTGGAGAATGGAGGATGGCAGAGTCCCTCGGACATCCTTTACGGTGAATTAAAGACAGGAAGTAAATGTTGAGGCCGACGCCCCCGTGTTGTGTGGAAAGGGCATATCAGGAAGGGAATGAGAATGAAGGAAGAAATGATTGCAGAAAGGATGAGAGCTGAGCGTCTGAAAAGAAACGGATTAAACACAAATGTTAACAATGGTCCTGAAATCCCATGCTATGATTGTGGAAGACTTTTCTTGACACGGGCGGGTCTTGCTAGTCACACTCGCCATCGCCATGGACTGTGAGTCTCATGCCTCCTCATAGCGCAATATAAAACTCTCGTCTGGAAATATGGAAAGGTGCCAATCATTGAAATTAGGTCTCAGAATATAATTCATTGGTGTATAGAAATGGACCAGTTCTTAGTTATTAGCGAGTGTGTTGCTTCTATGCACATATTGCTGGTAGTTAAACTTGTCCATGTGGTTATAAATTTTTAGTTAACTAAGTTCTCACTGATATGCTGAGAGATCAGCAAAGACATTTGTTGTAGCAATCAATTATTCATCATCATCATCAAGTTTCATGCTAGCTTGCTTAGATGGTCAATGTTTTATATCTTCCAAATTTCCGCCGAATTGATCAAGTTGTATGCCAGTCGGCAAGGCACCTGATGATGATGATGTTGTATGATCGCCCACGCCAGTCGGCAAGGCACCTGATGATGATGATGATGTTGTATGATCGCCCACGCCAGTCGGCAAGGCACCTGATGATGATGATGTTGTATGATCGCCCACGCCAGTCAGCAAGGCACCTGATGATGATGATGATGTTGTATGATCGCCCACGCCAGTCGGCAAGGCACCTGATGATGATAATGATGATGTTGTATGATCGCCCACGCCAGTCGGCAAGGCACCTGATGATGATGATGTTATACGATCGCCCACGCCAGTCGGCAAGGCACCTGATGATGATGATGATGTTGTATGATCGCCCACGCCAGTCGGCAAGGCACCTGATGATGATGATGATGTTGTATGATCGCCCACGCCAGTTGGCAAGGCACCTGATGATGATGATGATGTTGTATGATGTCTTATCGTACCATAATGAACAGCTGTCAAGAATGTAATTTTGCTACATTCCTGATCTTTCTTGATCATGAATCTGAAAAGCTCTCACAATATGATCCAGTTTGTTTGTCAGTGTGACTATAACAGTCTTCATATTTGAAGAGTAAGTAATATCAAGAAAATCTGAAACATAATAATAGCTTCAAAAATCAATTTATTGAACAGCAATGTTTGCTTTTGTAATCATGCAAATGTTAGAAGTATAAAACAGGGAAAAGCTGGACATGGTGGCATTGTGTGTTTTTTTTTAAACAGAATATTGAGGATACAAGTATACAGGCATCGTGTAGATGCTCATTAGAACTATAAGACAGACCACAACTATTAAAAAAAAAAGACAAATGAAATTAACAAAGCACATTAACAGAATAATGGAGAAATTTCATTGTGTAGGGACATGCTGTGTAAGAGTGTTTAAAAATATAAAACTGTACATGAAAAGTGTAAACAGTTTGGTAACAAATAGTAATGTAGGCAACACCAGTTATAAAAATGTCCATTCATACAGAGGATTGGGAGGTCATGATTAACATGATTACTGAAGTGTACTGCAGACCAGGGGTCTGAAGAAAAAGAGATTTTTTACCCAAAAATATGGTTACTTTCTTTTGTTTCTCATGTCAGTCACTACTAGATCACTAAATTTTAGGAGGGAAATTTCACACACATACATATTTTGCTGAACTTTCATCTTCCTCTCTTATGCAGGAATCGCAAACTTTATGAAGAGGAGAAACAGCTACGAATTCTTCAAATGGAAGCCATAAGACTTCTGTACCGAGAGGTAAATGCATTTCTTTTATTTCAGACAACCATACATCAGACCATTTACCACCATCACACAGAAAGTTGGCTTCAGTTGTCTCCATCATGCTTTAGCCATATATATGTATATTGTTTAATTTTTTATGTGTCTTCTGATTTAAACTGATCTGTTCCTTTTTAAATGTTTGCAGTTGCTTTACTCTCTAGTCTGGTTTTCTGCACAATATTATTCCTCTGTTTTTGTGTATATGTGGTTTTTTTGGTTTGTTAATTTAACCAACAACAGAAAATAAATGCATGAAATGCGCTGTCTCCGCAAGGTCATTAACAAGACAAGAAGAGACCGGGTTAAGAATACCGCAATTAGAGAGAAAGTTGGAATAAGACAATGTCTGGATTATTTTGACAGACAAAGAATGAAAGGGTTCGGCCATCTAATGAGAATGCAGCCAGGCCAAACTGCATTGAGACTTTTTACAGCAGAATATTGGGAGGAAGGTGAGAGGAAGACCAAGAAAGAGATGGATAAATGGTGAGGCCGAAACCTGCAAAAAGATGAACAAATCCATCATCTAAGCCACCTGAGAAGCGGGACAAATACAGAAAACCACGACACTGAGCTACAGCCTGGTATCAGTAGGACAACTAAAGAAGACCAAAATATTTTATTTATGATAATTTGTTGGTGTTGTGTAGTAGTCTTTTTTTTAAAAAGTTTTATTATCTTCTTTTTCTTTTTGTTTGCCCGATATTTGAACCTTTCGGCCAACACATCCCACTTCATTGAGCATTTGTTGACTGGGTTAACTTCCCGGACAGTTTTGTGGGACAAGGACATGTGGTGGCCTTATTTTTGTGGTGTTCTCTTTGTCCCCTTATCCACAGGTCTTGCCTCTGGAGACCCTGTCCAGGGCATCCTGGAATTCAGGAAGTTAAACGTCGAATAGCTCAAGCAGAGGCAGCATTTACAAAAAAATGAACATTTTATGCAATCTTTCTTTGTCATTTGAGACGAGAGAGAGAATTCTTAAAAGCTATATAAATCCTATATTGATATATGGGTTTGAATCGTGGACAGTTTGTAAATTAGTGAAAACCTATTTGGAAGCTCCAGTCTGGTGGTTTACATCTGGTGGAGTACATCGTGACGGTAGGAAAGTTGGAGGGGAGGTGAGGCAGAGGGAGACTGAGAAAACAGATGCTGGTCAGTTTGACATCATGGCATGGAAGATCATCTGTGTCAGAGTTGATTGAAAGTACATGAGACAGAAGGTTGTGGATTGAAATGACTACCAACGCCACACAACATGGACTTTAAGAAGAAGAAGCATCCTGGAATAGAAAATAATGCCAGTAGAGGCAGTCTGGATTGTAGGTGTGCCCAAATGCCACATTGCGTTGTTCTCATTCATATTTATCACTACTCACAGATATCCTGGAATGTTTCAGCATTCTTCTAGGACAGAGTATGGTACTGATTATTGGACAGTACATGCTTCTAATGGGATCAATATTTCATATATCTTATCCCTATCTCATTAATCACTATTGATCACCTCTTGGCTGAATCTAAGTTAAATCCTAACAGTGATTTTATAATTAGATTCACAACAATCTTCCATAACCATCTAATAAAGTTTAGTCATAGTGAATTTATGATTGTTTCCTTCACTGTTGACGTATCTCCATTTAGGGAAACGTGCTGATGAGAGTTCATCATTTTACTTTGAGTATCAGTAGAAGTGTCATAATTAATTACAAACACTTATTCATGCATGAAGTGTAAAAGGTAATTGCATCAAACAAGTAGATACAGACTTTTAAGGCAACAGGGACGGATACATCAGTTGTCTGAAGCCAGTGGCCAGACATGTAAGATCATAAATAAGCAGTTTGCAAAATCAAGGCCATGCAGAATGAATATGGAAAACTGCTAGATAACAATAATGGTTAAGGACATGTTGCCAAGTCTGGAGAGTACAAAACTGGCCCCAGTCACTATTGACAGTTACAGGCCATCAGAGACAATATCAGACAATATAGGAACATATTACACATAGGGTGCATCTGATGCATTCAAGGCAAGCAAAAAACAGTCACTGTGGCAGTAGATCTCTAAGTGACAGTAATTGTGTGTAGACTTCACACATCTTGTGCATTAGTTGATGAACTGTAGCATTAATTTTGTGGTGGTAACTTGATGAGAGCTGTAGTGAAGAGAAGAGCAGTGACAGTGTGTTGGGAACATGGGCATCAGAACCTCTGCACACATGTCCTGACCTGCCTTTTGACCCTCCATCATTGCTGGTATTATCCAGCAGTCCACACAGCCACACTGATCAGGTGGACCCAAACAAATCTTTCTGTTTGCAGAAATCTGATTGACTTGGGTGCTAGTTAGTTAGTTAGTTAGTTGGGTTATCATCATTGCACTGCAGACATGTCCATAGGTGCTCAGATCCTCCCCTCAGTATGAACCCCAACGTCCGATGGCTAATAGTACCAGTTCTATGTTGATTAACAAGTCTTCTGACGTGTCCGGTGTGCGTCTCGATTTTTGCTGTGCCGATCTTAATTCCCAAGTCTGCCATTCTGGCGAGTGATGTGGATTCACTGCCACCAAAGTCCTCTATCCTTTCCATTTCTCTGAGGGCATTGATAATATCAGCATGATCCATAGGCCGACCGTCAGTAGTGATAGCGGATCCAGCCAACCTGTCAGCTCTTTCATTTCCATCGACGCCTGCGTGTCCCGGAACAAAAATAAAGGTGACTCCACGCACAGTGGACTTCTGAATTGATTCAAGCCATTGTCTTCGCACTGAACCTGCCTGAACCCTCCGGATCATACTCATTGAATCACTGAGTATACATATGCGGGTGTATTTTTGTGTTTCAAGCCAGGCAAACGCTTGCGTCACTGCCATCACCTCCATCGTCATGCTGCTGGTTGTCATGGAGAAGGCGCCATTGGCTTCTTTGACTGTTCTGCCCGCTGAGCGTGCTGTAAATGCCCATGCGCTTCTTCTTTGGCGTATAACGGATCCGTCTATATAGATTAGTGCATCTGCTTCGTCTGAATTTTCACCGATGAGAGCGTTGACCTCTGCATTAACAGCAACAGGATTCTCTTCTCTACATTGCCTGTTGAGTGTGACAATACAGGAAAATGTACAAATAAACGCCTGAGGCACAGGTATCCATTCTGCACCAGGTATGATGTCGGTTAGGCTGCATATTTGCCTAATAACATCTTCTGCCCGACCTAGCCACGATTTTCCCCTCTTCAGTCTTGGGTGCATTCTGTGACATGGAGGTTAGCAAACACATTTCACAATTCTTGAGCACTTGGGTTTGATTTCTGTGGTGAGCAGATTAAAAAAAAGAGAATGGGCATGGCTGTTGGATAGAGATACAAGAGTCACACCATGACAGAGATCGGCACAAACACAACAGTAAAGACACACATCCCCTGCACCCAGTCTCTGTCATGGAGACAGTCAACAGTTGTTCTTGTCATCTGATATCAGTCAGAAACATGCATTTTCTGAAGATGACTATGTGAGGTGAATAGATAAATATGCCAGACTGGTATATATGCCAGATAATGTGAGTGATAAAAACCATTAAGCAGCAGTATTTGCTGCCAACCTGGCATCTACCTAACACATCTGTGACATGTGTTGTTGCTGTGTTCAACAAGCACTTGACTTGACATCAATGAAATATTTACTTGTACTTACTCAATTATTATATTATCACTATTACAGGAGTGCTGGAACCTGAAGGCTTAGCCACCCCCCGCCCCCACCCCACCAAACCTTGTAAAGAGGTTCTCTTTTGAAGTTTGAAAAAAAAAATGCATATAACCTTATTTCAAATATATTATTATATTTATGTGCTATTCAGCAAATTATTGTTAAGCCCCCCTGACTGACTGACTGACTGACTGACTGACTGACTGACTGACTGACTGACTTTCTACCCCACCAGGACATCACACAAGCAATAAATACCCGATGACAAAATGTGCCACCACGTGGATGAGGATCACCGTGGAGAGGTCCCAGAAACCGTGTTCAGCCAGTTGGCCATATTTATGGCCTGGCTGTATTGCGGCCCCTTGCAAGAGCCAAGCTAGGGTGGGGCTTCAAATAACGAAAAATTTTATCCTAAAAAGGACAGGGAAAAAATCAGTGCCGCTGCCTCAGTTTCACACAATAGAGTTAGCCCTAGTATATGGAGTAGTGCAGTTTGTGATGCAAGCACACAGGTAATATTTGTTTCTTCTGTGCTCATGATTTTCAGGTTCAAGATTTAAAGTCAAGAAGTCTGAACAGCACAGACATGAGCAGCAACTCTGTCAACACAACTGTCAGGTTTAGCTCTGGTGTTGCCTCCCCTGCCACAACTGGCTACAGTGAATTGAACAGGACTCAGGAGCTAGAGAGAACATGTGTTGGTTTACAAAGCCAGGTACAAATCTCTCTGTTCTCTTTTTATTCCTAATTTACATTTCTTAAATTACTGTTGCCATCATAAACTTGCCAAATGAACATAACATTCAAATGAGAAGTAATGCTGCATGTCATTTTTGTGAGGCAGATTGAATTTGTCATGTCCTAGTGAGCAACAGAGGCAGTCTCAACACCCCGCCCCCCTCTTCCCCACACACACACACACACAACTCATAGCAGTCGTCCCTATGTGGAAAGCCATTTTTCGTTATTTGAACCCCCACCCTGGCTCTGGCCGGGGGCCCCAAATATAGCCGGGCCATAAATATGCCCTAACTGCTGAACAGGGTTTCAGTGACCTCTCCACTGGTGATCCTCATCCACATGTGGCACTTTTTGTCACCGGGTGTTTATCGCTTTGTATGATGTCGTGGTGAGGTACAACTTATATACATACAACACCCTCTCCCCCCTCTTTAGGATTGCACACAGGGACATCTCTCTACAGTAGCAAATCCCAGAGACCCTGTTCATCCGTATAGCACGGTCATATTAGGACACTCAATGTTTATGAAGAAACCTGTAGTTTAGTTTGGGTAGGTTGTATTTTAGAATGAAACCAGCAGTCATCACCTGAATATCTGCAGAGAGACACTGAGCACTAATGGAAATTTCCTGAGTTCAGTACTGTTGTTTCTATTAAAGTGTAACCAGTATGTAACAAGCATGGAGTGCTAGCTGATGTAGACTATCTTTACTTTGTGGTTAGGCTGACTTTGTACATGAAGCATCACTAGATCTGGTCTGCCACTTGGGAAATTAGAAATAACCCTGACTGAGGTGTTTGTAAATCAGCTGTGACATTCTCTTTCACAGCCAATGTGAGACAGGCTTCACAGAACAGCTGTCAAGTCTTGTTCTTGCAGCATGACAATGATAATGTGACCCTTTCATGTGATCACACTGAATTCTGTAACTGACCTCACATGTAACTACTTTGCCAACTTATCAAAAACTTATCTGTCTGCAATTTTCCCTTTTTAACATCCTGTTTCCCCAGTTGTCAAAATGTTCCCAAACCCAACATTTCTCGTCTTTTTCTTGTTCAGCATTTCGAGCCCTTGAAGTTCATTGCTGCAGATATCATCCACCTCCATTCATCTCTCTGATTAGCCTTCTCTTTCCAACTGGTGACACCAATTGTTTGCAGATCTGTCTGGACATTATCTCTCCATCTTCTTCTTGGTCTGCCTGATGGTCTGCCTGATGGTCTACGACCATTCATCTCCCTGGTGTATACAGTTTTTACTTCTCTGTCATCTGACCTTCTTTCAATATGCCCCAACCCTTTCAGTCTATTAGCTCTCATGATGCCAGTGATCAGTGTTTATTTCTCAGGTGTTCCAAATTATTTTTTCAAATGTAAGTTTTTACACAGCCAATAAAATTCTGTAAACATTATTTCCATACTAAGAATAATAAAGTTTCACAAATACATGAAGCATTGAGACTTTGTGGCATTTTGTCTTTGATCAGAGACCTTAGAAAAATAAATAATTAGTAACAGGAATTTTTAAAAAGTACAGAACATGGTTATTTTTGTTGACTTGGTATCCATTGCAAAACTCAGTGGGTCAATGATGCTAAGCTGACAAGCACCGGACAGACCAAGCACTTGAAAAAAAAATGTGAGACTAAGGTAGGTACAAGGTGTTCATGGCGAATGTACTTATCTGTTCATGGTGAATGTACTTATCTGTTCATGGTGAATGTACTTATCTGTTGGACAGGTGTCCCAGCTTCAAGAGGCCCTGGAGTCTGTGTCGTCTGCTGTGTTTAAGATCAATAGCTTGGATAGTGCCAGTTTTGACATCACAGGTACTTGATTTAATTTGTAATTTCATGCAAGTTGTATGTGTGGATTTTCTTGCACACCTTTTTCTAATGTCAGCTGCTGCGATGACTTTCTTTTGTCTTCTGGCTCATGTCATCGCACGCTTCCATTCACCGACTAACAACACACGAGCAAACATGGATGCAGGCGAACGATCCAAATTACAATTATACAGTTTATTCGATCACTCGCTGGTATTGCAGCCAGTAAATGTAAGTGGACAACATAGTCACTCACATCGATACTCACTTATCTAACATGTCAACTTTACCTTACAATAGATACATTGCATCCCACAATTGAATGAACAACAATGATTCCTTCCGATCTTCTTCTTCTTCGTTCACCGGCTGTGAATTCCGGCGGAAGGTCAGGTTAATCGTCCGCTTGGACTTTTGGCTTTTACCTGGACCTGAGTTTCGCGTGTACAGCCGTTTTATGTTCCCTGCCTCACGGGCAGATGTACTCCAACTTCGAGGGAAGACGTCAGGCCTATTTCTAGGATGACTGTGGCCATTGTTTTGTGTGGGTCAAACGTTGCCTGATTTGTGTGGTGTCCTCTTTGTCGCCTTCTCCACAGGTTTTGCCCCCGGAGTACCCCTTTGGGGCAGCCCCTTGTGGAACGGTTGGCCCTCAAGGGAAGGCAGGGGCAGATCATGGGCATTCCCCACCATCCAAGGAGGCTTCCATGTATGCAGAGCCGGCACATGGCGCTCTGGTGCTGGGCTCACCCAAGGAATCGTCACGTCCTGCACATGCCTGCTTAACCTCAAAACCGTATTAGACCTATCGCTCGACGAGGGCTGCGCCCTCTGGAAGTCAGCAGGGAGCAGCCCGCGGGTTCTGAACTTTTGTGACCACACGAATAGGTACATTCTTTTTCTTCGCACGTTAGATTTCTTTGACGAGCCGTTAGCCCGACAGAATTTAACATCCTGCGTCAGGCATATGGTTGTCAGTTTGGTCCCAACACTTGGGCGAGTGGTGTCTTTGGGTGTGGACATTTGGACTTTTTCCGTTCAATGATGGTCGGATTTTGAGCTTACTCGTGTGCCGTAGGATCTAGTTTTGTCGGACATTTAGGCTTAGCCATCCAATGGGCTGTTGCTGTTGTGGTGTACCTCAGCACGGTGACGACGACACTGAGGGTTAACAGAGGATGTACATGGGTAGAGTCTTGCTGCGAGACGCCACCCACAGGAGATGTTACTCGTCTGTGCTGCGGGTAAATCTCTAGGTCAAGGGATTAGTCTCAGCAGAACAATGTTCTCTTCACTCCGCAATCTTTTAACCAAGGGTTGTAATTTTAGCTGTACGTTAGGCAAGCACTTTACTCATGTTCCTATTGAGTTTTGATAACCTTTTTCACCCATGCGTTTGGGGGCGGGCTGATGAGAGCCACAAGGACACATCACCTCTGGGGGCCGCCAACTCCGAGATCCCCTGACAGCTCTGTTAATGCTCATTTGAGACATTATCCGTGGCGCATGACGAGGACGTGCTGCAGGGGTCTTGCGTGAGGTTCCGTATAACCAGAACTATGAAGGACTGGTGCCCGAGTGACGTACGGAGTACCTCCTTATACACATCATGTTGGACTTAACTTTCCCTCACGCCTGTGACATAAATCGCCACGCCACCCCTCCTTCCGATCAAAATCACAAAACATTCCAGCTGGCTACGACTTCCGTTCGCCGCAACTGATGGCCAGGTAGGCATTGGAAAAACACTGTGCAGACATGTAGGACTTAAACACTCTTTCTGGATCCCACAGACACTCCATCATTCTTCATGTATTCATTTCCTAGGCCTAAACGAGACTGACTCCCAGCCCTTTCTATGGCATTATATTGCTGACAGAAAGAAAACATGGAATTCAATACATCTGTTCATTGACCTGTCTTGCTGTCAGAAAGAAATTATAGAATTCAAGATATGTAATAAACTTTCAATACATCTGTTCATTAACCTGTCTTGCTGTCAGAAAGAAAACATGGAATTCAAGATGTGTAATAAACTTTCAATACATCTGTTCATTAACCTGTCTTGCTGTCAGAAAGAAATTATAGGATTCAAGATGTGTAATAAAATTTCAATACATCTGTTCATTAACCTGTCTTGCTGTCAGAGTTCATTAACCTGTCTTGCTGTCAGAGTTCATTGACCTGTGTTGCTGTCAGAGTTCATTGACCTGTCTTGCTGTCAGAGTTCATTGACCTGTGTTGCTGCCTGGGGATCACAGTACTTGCTCCAGGTATTACACGTGGTCCTCATGGAGATGGTAGTCATACACCTGGGGCAGCATTGGGGATCACAGTACTGGCTCCAGGTATTACACATGGTCCTCAGGGAGATGGTAGTCATACACCTGGGGCAGCATTGGGGATCACAGTACTTGCTCCAGGTATTACACATGGTCCTCAGGGAGATGGTAGTCATACACCTGGGGCAGCATTGGGGATCACAGTACTTGCTCCAGGTATTACACATGGTCCTCAGGGAGATGGTAGTCATACATCTGGGGGGGGGGGGGTTTAATGGTTTAGCAGAGGTTTGTGTTAAAGCCTGAATGCCTGAGTAATTTGGTGAAGTCATAGTAGTTAAGGTTTCAACTTCACTGCAGTTGGGCTGCCCCCCTACATGCTTGGTTTTGGGCTGCCCCCCTACATGCTTGGTTGTGGGCTGCCCCCCTACATGCTTGGTTTTGGGCTGCCCCCCTACATGCTTGGTTTTGGGCTGCCCCCCTACATGCTTGGTTTTGGGCTGCCCCCCTACATGCTTGGTTTTGGGCTGCCCCCCCTACAACCCCCCTATAATAATTGGTTTTGGGCTGCCCCCCTACATGCTTGGTTTTGGGCTGCCCCCCTACATGCTTGGTTTTGGGCTGCCCCCCTACATGCTTGGTTTTGGGCTGCCCCCTGCATGCTTGAAAACTGAACATTCTGCCATGCCTTGTCCTTCACATTGGACCTGTTATTATCAGTTTCTAGGAACATAATAAACTGTTTTACTGTCAGTATAAAAGAGCTATTGTGTGCTAAGTGTGTTAAGAATGGAAATTGTGTCTGCAGATTCTGTGGCTATAATGTGTCCTAGTTGTCTGTTCAGCTTGAAGGACTGTTTTTATGTAGTTCATAGCACTAATCTTTTCTCCTTCTTTTTAGGTTCACTAGCTGTAAACTCCGGCAAAAATATTATGGTTGTTCATCCATTTCTGGACTTTAGTCTTGCTCCAAAATTAGAGATTGTATGCACATTAATTTTACAGATCTGGCTTATGTGTGTGCAGACTGTTGATTCCTCACCTGTCAGGCAGTGCACTCTGACTTCAATGGAAAAACCTTTAATTAGTTCCCTTTTATAAAATACTTGTTCAGGAAATAAAGGAGGGGGAGGGGGGGGGGGGGCACTGAGAACCCAAACTTGGAATAATAGTAATGATGTTAGCACATCATAGTCCTAAATATAAATGACCTTGATTTAAAAAAAAAATTTTTTTCTTAACTTTACAGATCACTCTGACAAAATCCGCATCAGTCCAGTCTGTGAGAACAACCAAGCCAGTAACCGGCAGTCAGACAAGACTAGTCAGTGGGGTCAGTGCAACACTGCCATAGAGAACACATATTTATTTAAATTGAGTACCCCATACCCCCCCCCCCTCCCCCATACCCCCCCCCCCCCCCCCCCCCCCCCCCCCCCTTTTCCCTGAGTTTATTTAACTAAGTGAATTATTTTTAATTTCATCCAGAATTAATATAATTTTGGATTTGCATAATATAAAAAACATCTATAATTATTTATCACTTACTCTTAGGAGTAAATTGGACAGGAGGAAAGTAGGAGAGGAAGAGGAAGACCAAGATAGAAGATGCTGGAGATGTTGGTGTGATGGCATAGAAGGATGCTTGTATTTCTAATAATTGACAGAACATGAAGCGAAGGGTGTGAAAAACAAAGCCTGTGTTTACTGCCTGTATTGAGACCACTTCTAGGGTGGTGTTGGACAGGGAAGGAGAGAGGGAGTTGGGGGGGGGGGGGGGGAGATCATGAGCATAAGGATTTAAATAGTTAGTGCAGTCCCCCATGTACCCGTCCTTTTAAGGATGAAATTTTTCGTTATTTGAAGCCCTACTCTGGCTCTTGTCAGGGGCCGCAATATAGCCTGGCCTCAAATTTGGCCTACAGGCTGGACACAGTTTCTGGGACCTCTCCACGGTGATCCTCACCTACATGGTGGCACATTGTGTCATCAGGTGTTTATCACTTGTGTGATGTCCTGGTGGGGTAGAAAGTCAGTCACTCCCATGTACTGTGCAGGTTAAGATATTTAGCTTTGCCCCAAATAAAAATATGTGTCTTTTACAGAGAATTTAACTCATGTTGCCTGCTTGAGAACCCAGTGCTTTACCCCCTGACCAGCTGTTTCTGGCTGAAGGAAGAAATGGTTACCAGTGCTACACAACATGGACGGTAAAAGGAAAATTATGAGAGTAGCGGGACTTTGGTGCTTTTTCTCAAACGATGGCATTATCACATAAAGGGCTTTTATCAGGTGGTACACAATGGTACATAGTAACGGCTCCTTTTTTTTAAGGCCATTATTTTTTTCAGTACTGCTATAAAAGACACTTTGTGGTGAGTACTGGCAATTTAAAAAAAAAATTGCTTTGTGATCAGTAGCAGCATCTTTTTTCTAGGATAAAAAGGAAAAGCCAGAATTTGTATATGCTAGATGCTGGGCTCTTGGCGGCTTCTTGGGGAATGTCTGCAGTAGCCACAGGTTTGTTACCAACTAGACATATGAATCTATAATGTCTGTGTGCACCGACCAAGAAGAGAGAGAAGGAGCAGAGACGTCGGTATTTATATACACACATGTGTAAACTGAAGAGTGTCTGGTAGACTAGGATTGATTCCAGGGGGCTGAAATATGTAAACACTTATCACAAACATTAGAACGAGGCAGTTAACATTGTTTACCATATTGTGATTGGGGGAAACAGGGGAAACCTCTAACGATTGAGAAGATTTGTTAACGTAGTGATAGAGAACAAACAAACAAAATTTATTTTCAAAGGGTTACAAATTGGGCACACAGGCCTATCTTACATTCAGCCCTTTCAAACATACACCTTTCACACAGCAGTTGTATTTCATCAGAAAAGCAATAAAGCCAGTTATGTGCATATTGTGAATACCAAGAAAAAACACTAAAGCATGGGTGGTAAAATGCATTAGCACCCTTGCGTGCGCGCACACACACACCATCAAACACACGCCAACCTTTTCGTTCACTCACACAGCTACATATTGATACACACTCACATATCCCCCCCCCACACACACACACGCACGCACATGCACACACATGCACAAATACATGCACATGCACACACATGCAGAAACGCACGCACGCACACATGTGTGCACACACACATGCACACACACATATATATATATTCCATACACACCCAGACACCCCCACACACATACATACATACATACATGCATGCATGCACACATATACATACATACATACACACATTCACACACACACACACACACACACCCCTACCTACCTACCTACCTACTTACCTACCTACCTACCTACCTATACATGCACGTATGCACACACACACATCCGTGCATACAGACACTCACAGAGACAATCACAGACCAATGCACACAGACACACACACATGCAGACACACCCACAGACACACGCTCACAGACAGACATACACACAGAAAATGCATGCAGTCACACACATAGACAAACTCACATGGATATGTGGTGGTAGTTTAGAGTATTTAGAGAGAAAATTTTACACAGTCACACAAATAGAAAACTCACACAGAAATGTGGAGATAGTTTGGAGTATTTAGAGAGACAATTTTACGAATAAATTTGGCCTTGTTAAAAATTAAACCTTTACTAAATGGCAGAAGATTTAGATGGCTATAGAGATGATTTTTATCAATATGCTTTCTATCTGAAACCAGACGTTAAGCTCAATTTTGAAGGAAACTTAATCTTTTAACGTTACGTTTGGCACAGCTATCCCAAAATGTGGAACAGTAGTCGAAATGTGTGTAGGTGTAGGACAAATACAATTGTTTTTGTGCATTGTCATCTAGAAAGTGTTGAATTTTGGCAAGCTGATCAACTTTATATGTTATTTTCTTAGTCGTGTCACAAACATGAGAATTCCAAGTTAAAAGGCGGTAGTTGAAGACACATCACTGTAAAGACGCCATGAAAACAACATGACTGTACATACTTTTTTTGTGTCCTGTCTTCTGTTCACCCATAAAGCAATAGAAACGATGAGAAACATCCATCTGTCCGTCATGTACGATCCTCTCTCTTCAAGCATGTCAAAGAGTGCTGCAATAGAGGTCGGTCATCCTATCTTCATCCACTGTAGACATCAGGCCTTCCATTCAGAAGCCACATCTCCTCATCTGTACTGCTGTCCTACAGTCATCTCAAGCTTCCCATGTGACTGGACTGGGGGTTAGCCCTCAGCATCGGCCGTCCCTGAACAACTGATGCTAACTGAACTCTCTCTCTCTCTCGGCCATCTGTCTGATGATATGATCAAGGTGCAAGAATGTCACATGATCTGATTCTAATCATCTCAATTGGTAACTCCAATGGAAAGTTTTTCAAAATATTCCACTGACATCACCAGTTACCTGCAGTAAACTAATTACTAAAGTGCTACTTGATTATCTTCTTCTTCTTCTTCTTCCTCTTCTTCTTCTTCAGCATTTTGAGCCCTTCAGGTTCATTGTTGCAAATATCATCTGCCTCCATTCATCTCTCTGGTTGGCCTTCTCTTTCCAGTTGGTGACACCAAGTCTAAATGGAGAAGCCCAACAAGCCAATCCAATAGTAATAAATGAGGGCAATGAGATCAGATCTGGAAACGATGCTGCAAATATCCTTTTGAATCAGTTTAAATCTGTTAGTGATATTAATATAGAAAAGTCCAGAGAAGATGAGGTAGTACAAAGAATAAAAGAACTCGAGGAGGCCAGCAAGAGTAAACCAGCAGAGAGCATCATGACAGATAAATTCTCAACCAGCTGAAATCAAACCAAGCCCCTGGCCCCGATAAAATCACGAATGATATGTTACTACACATGGGTCTAAGTGCCAAAAAGAAATTATTAAACATCTTTAATGCCAGCTGGATTTTTATTATAGTTCCTCCAGCCTGGAGGAAGTCTGAAATCTTCGTAATCCTGAAACAAGGAAAGCCGAAGAACAACGCAGACAGCTACAGACCCATCAGCCTCACTAGCTGTCTGTGCAAACTATTTGAAAGATTATTGAACAACCGACTGACCTGGTTCCTAGAGAAAAACGTCAAACTAATGGAGGAACAGGCAGGTTTTCGACGTTGTAGATCAACAGAAGACCAAATTACATTTATTGCTCAACACATTGAAGATGCATTCCAGGAAAAAAAGCACACTATTGCAGTTTGGGTGGATATGCAAACCTCAATGTCCTTAAAAGGACCTATACAGGCTATGTGAGGCCAACACTAGAATATGGAATAGCTGCTTGGGGCACAGCAGCTAAATCAAATTTTCAGAAAGTCTCAAAGATCCAAAACCATGCTCTCCGTATTATGACAGGGGCAATGCGCTCCACGCCCATATCAGATATGGAAACAATTACTGGCCTCCATAATCTGGAAGATAGGAGAGACACAAAGATCCTCACCCAGCTCTCCAAATACCACCACTTTCAAGAACAACCCATGTACAGCCGACTACAGAAACCCCAGAAGGCTAGACTAAAGAGAACTTGCTTTATTAAGAACGCAAATGCCAAGCTCGCTGTCCTTAAACTCCCTCCCATAATACCAAATGTTCCACTTAAACCTTACAACGACTGCCCCGCTTGGCTTAGGGATAGCCTACCAACAGTCAGAACCACTGTAACAGGGGTCTCCTCCAAATCATCAATGAGCAGCACTGATATGAAATCAACTACAGAAGGAGAGATCAATAGACTTTACCCACACCAGAGTTGGATTCGAGTGTATACAGATGGTTCAGCCAAGAGAGCAGAAAGAGACGGAGGAGGAGGAATTTCGTCAACATATGTTCAAATTTTTCGGTGTAGGAAATACGGAGACGTGTCCCTGCAGCGTGGCACCCGAAAATGCTGAGCATGTGCTCCAACACTGTCAACTGTATGCTGACAACAGAGACGCAATCTGGCCTGTTCCAACCACAATGAAGACAAAACTGTATGGTACACAAGAGGATATGGATTGCACGATAGCTTTCATAAAGGCTACCGGCCTCCTGATATAAGTTTTCTGACAGAAGGATCAAAGAAGAAGAAGAAGAAGACTCTCCATTCCACGCTGTTTGCATCTGTGATGGGTCCAAAGATTTGTCATAAGACTCTGGTCTCAAAAATTTGTAATAAAGCTTCATCTCTTTTAGTTGTGCTCCAAGTTTCAGAGCCATATAATACGTTTTATATTTTTTGATCTTGGTGTTGCAAGACAGACACTTCGACTTTAGCAGATGTTGAAGGGCAAAGTATACTTTATTTCCAGATTGTTTTTTAGATTGTATTTCTTCTCTCAGCATGTTGGAGCACTTGAAGTTTGCACCCAAGTACTTACACGTTTCCATTTGTTTGACATTTGATGGAAATGAAAGAGCTGACAGGTTGGCTGGATCCGCTATCACTACCAACCGTCAGCCTATGGATCATGCCGATATTATTAATGCCCTCAGAGAAATGGGAAGGATAGAGGACTTTGGTGGCAGTGAATCCAAATCACTCGCCAGAATGGCAGACTTGGGAATTAAGATTGGCATAGCAAAAAATGAGACGCACACCAAACACACCAGAAGACTTGTTAATCAACAAAGAACTGGTACTATTAGCCATCGGACGTTGGTGTTCATACTGAGGGTGATATAAGACATAAGGTTAGATGAAAAACATGTATCTGAATGTGTGAATAAAGAGTTAGGCGCAGATCTGGCAAGGAGTGAAGTGACTTTTCTGTGAGTATACCCAGTGTGCTCTTGGAACAGTTAGCATCTACAACTTAAGGTATTTGTGGTGGGAGTTGGAGCATCTATGTGTATGCCTGGTGTGTTATAATGTTGATTTCTTTAAACAGTAAACTAATTTGAAATATACCAAAGTGTACAAGCGTTGTCTTTATCTTGTCCTAGGTTGCATCCCCCACTCTTTGTCTCCGTACCCTTCTGAGGAAGATGATCCTTATTATCTACAAGTCTCAGCTCGAGGAGCACCTACACCCCCTCGCCACCTGCAGCTGAGGCATCACAGTCATCACTCACTCATGTTGTCGTGGCAACCACCCTCTTGCAGCGGACAAAAGTGGGAGGAGGAAGGCAACAAGCATATCATAGGTCAGAGAAGCATTTGTTTGTGCAGATATAGATCAATGAGTAATATGTGGGCAACATTTGTTTGTGCAGATATAGATCAATGAGTAATATGTGGGCAACATTTGTTTGTGCAGATATAGATCAATGAGTAATATGTGGGCAACATTTGTTTGTGCAGATATAGATCAATGAGTAATATGTGGGCAACATTTGTTTGTGCAGATATAGATCAATGAGTAATATGTGGGCAACATTTGTTTGTGCAGATATAGATCAATGAGTAATATGTGGGCAGATATAGATCAATGAGTAATATGTGGACAACATTTGTTTGTGCAGATATAGATCAATTTTTTTTTTTTTTTTTTTTTTTTTTACGTATCCAGAAACCATGAGTTGTAAACCCTTTGGCTCGGTACTATGGATATCGCAACCCTTCGGCATTGATTCCATTATAGGTACCGTTAATCTGGGAGAAATGTGGCTTTTCTGCCTACCCCCGGGAGTGAACCCGGACCACAAGGAGTTCGTCACCCGGCCGCCGCGAAAGTCAGGTTTAACCAACTTCGCTAGAGAGCCGGGCATATAGATCAATAAGTAATATGTGGGCAACATTTGTTTGTGCAGATATAGATCAATGAGTAATATGTGGGCAACATTTGTTTGCGCAGATATAGATCAATGAGTAATATGTGGGCAGATATAGATCAATGAGTAATATGTGGACAACATTTGTTTGTGCAGATATAGATCAATAAGTAATATGTGGGCAACATTTGTTTGTGCAGATATAGATCAATGAGTAATATGTGGGCAGATATAGATCAATGAGTAATATGTGGGCAACATTTGTTTGCGCAGATATAGATAAATGAGTAATATGTGGGCAACATTTGTTTGCGCAGATATAGATCAATGAGTAATATGTGGGCAACATTTGTTTGCGCAGATATAGATCAATGAGTAATATGTGGGCAACATTTGTTTGTGCAGATTTAGATCAATGAGTAATATGTGGGCAACATTTGTTGTGCAGATTTAGATCAATGAGTAATATGTGGGCAACATTTGTTTGTGCAGATATAGATCAATGAATAATATGTGGGCAACATTTGTTTGTGCAGATATAGATCAATGAATAATATGTGGGCAACATTTGTTGTGCAGATTTAGATCAATGAGTAATATGTGGGCAACATTTGTTTGTGCTGATATAGATCAAGTAATATGTGGGCAACATTTGTTTGTGTGTGTATGTGCACGTGCCTGTGTGAGAGAGAGAGAGTGAGTGAGTGAGCATGGCTGAAGGGTTTCTTTACGTTTGACTTCTTACCTGAAAATTTTAAAATTACCTAGTTCCAGAGTCAAATTTATACATACATATTCGTATACACGCAAACACACACGCATAAAACACATATAGGTAATATTCTGTTATGCATTTCTCCCAGGTTACAAGGTGTACGTCAATGACCAGCTGAAAGCCTTTGTTTGCCAGAAGACATCTGTTCTAGTTGAAGGTTTGAATCCTTCCACCACCTACAAGTGAGATTTTTTTAACATGTTAAAGTGGCAAATACAATTTGGTTTGACTTGTGAAGAAGCTTTTAGCATAACAGCAGATTTGTCTCTAGTGGTGTCAATTACATTAAGCTCTCTGATGACCTGGTCGAAGATTTTCTAAGGTATTTATAGTTTCAGTTATAATGGAAATTTATTGAATATCATACAGTTCAGAATATTCTAAACTTCCGTCTGCTTCCCAGGTGCAGCAAAGTAAATGCATCCATATCTTCTGAGAATGTTCTGCTCTTGGTCAGTTTTGCCAGCTAAGATTTTGGGTCTAAATTGTTTAAGAGATTGTGATGCTTCACAAATTTTTCCTTGTTGGTTTTTCCCCCACAGAGTGGCTTGCCTGCTAGTCCTGAGGTCATAGCTTTAAATCTCCATTGAAAATAAAAATCAGCTGGTCCACTGTTGCTTCCCTTTTGTATTCATGTATAGATGTTTAGGTCATGTGTAGATGTTTGGCTCATGTGTAGATGTTTGGCTTATGTGTAGATGTTTGGGTCATGTGTAGATGTTTGGGTCATGTGTAGATGTTTGGCTTATGTGTAGATGTTTGGCTTATGTGTAGATGTTTGGCTTATGTGTAGATGTTTGGGTCATGTGTAGATGTTTGGCTTATGTGTAGATGTTTGGCTTATGTGTAGATGTTTGGGTCATGTGTAGATGTATGGCTTATGTGTAGATGTTTAGGTCATGTGTAGATGTTTGGCTTATGTGTAGATGTTTGGCTTATGTGTAGATGTTTGGGTCATGTGTAGATGTTTGGGTCATGTGTAGATGTTTGGGTCATGTGTAGATGTTTGGGTCATGTGTAGATGTTTGGGTCATGTGTAGATGTTTGGGTCATGTGTAGATGTTTGGCTTATGTGTAGATGTTTGGCTTATGTGTAGATGTTTGGCTTATGTGTAGATGTTTGGCTTATGTGTAAATGTTTGGGTCATGTGTAGATGTTTGGGTCATGTGTAGATGTTTTGCTCATGTGTACATGTCTGGGTCATGTGTAGATGTTTGACTCATGTGTAATTGTTTGGGTCATGTGTAGATGTTTGGGTCATGTGTAGATGTTTGGCTCATGTGTAATTGTTTGGGTCATGTGTATATGTTTGGGTCATGTGTAGATGTTTGGCTCATGTGTAATTGTTTGGCTCATGTGTATATGTTTGGGTCATGTGTAGATGTTTGACTCATGTGTAGATGTTTGGCTTATGTGTAGATGTTTGGGTCATATGTAGATGTTTGGGTCATGTGTAGATGTTTGGCTCATGTGTAGATGTTTAGGTCATGTGTAGATGTTTGGCTCATGTGTAGATGTTTGGCTTATGTGTAGATGTTTGGCTTATGTGTAGATGTTTGGGTCATGTGTAGATGTTTGGCTCATGTGTAGATGTTTGGGTCATATGTAGATGTTTGAGTCATCTGTATATGTTTGGCTCATGTGTAGATGTTTGGGTCATGTGTAGATGTTTAGGTCCTGTGTAGATGTTTGGCTCATGTGTAGATGTTTGGTCAGCTCTGTGGCTAAGTCGATGCGAACACTTCGCTTCGTAATGCCGGGATGCCGGTTCGATCCCAGCTGCGGGCAATGCGCCTTGCATTGGTTTCGACAGTGGTATCAAGAAAGGCGACCATCCAGAAAGCAATGGCAAACTACTGGACATAATTTGCTTAGAAAAACCACACAACAGCCAGGGGCTGTTAGGGTTGGTTCTGAAACGTCCTGTAAAGGATACGCAACAACCTTACGTAGATGTTTGGGTCATGTGTAGATGTTTGGGTCATGTGTGGATGTTTGAGTCATGTGTAGATGTTTAGGTCATGTGTAGATGTTTGGCTCATGTGTAGATGTTTGGGTCATGTGTAGATGTTTGGGTCATGTGTAGATGTTTGGCTCATGTGTAGATGTTTGGCTCATGTGTAGATGTTTGGGTCATGTGTAGATATTTGGCTCATGTGTAGATGTTTAGGACATGTGTAGATGTTCAATCAATGTGTAGATGTTTGGCTAATGTGTAGATGTTTAGGTCATGTGTAGATATTTAGGACATTTGTAGATGTTTAGGTCGTGTGTAGATGTTTGGGTCATGTGTAGATGTTTGGGTCATGTGTAGATGTTTGGGTCATGTGTAGATGTTTGGCTCATGTGTAGATGTTTGGGTCATGTGTAGATGTTTAGGACATGTGTAGATGTTCAATTAATGTGTAGATGTTTGGGTCATGTGTAGATGTTTGGGTCATGTGTAGATGTTTGGGTCATGTGTAGATGTTTGGGTCATGTGTAGATGTTTGGCTCATGTGTAGATGTTTGGGTCATGTGTAGATATTACGGACATGTGTAGATGTTCAATTAATGTGTAGATGTTTGGGTCATGTGTAGATGTTTGGGTCATGTGTAGATGTTTGGGTCATGTGTAGATGTTTGGCTCATGTGTAGATGTTTGGCTAATGTGTAGATGTTTAGGACATGTGTAGATGTTCAATTAATGTGTAGATGTTTGGGTCATGTGTAGATGTTTGGCTCATGTGTAGATATTTGGCTCATGTGTAAATGTTTGGGTAATGATGACATTTAATGAGACAGTACATTTGATTTTTTATCACCAGGTTGCTGTTTTTCACTTAGATGTTCTGTTTTCTCTATGGATAGTACGTACTAGAACTTGAGAACCTGTTTTCACTTAAATGTTCCATTTTCTCTACAGATAGTATGTACTAGAACTTGAGAACTATTTTTTTTAATTTTATGTAATTAAACAACAGCAACAGATGGTTTGGTCACATCAGAATATTATCACAAGACCATGAATTATAAAGAGCTTTAGCATTCAGGTACAGTAGGCATAATAGAAGGAGGTCAGCCCATAAACAGTGGATTGGTAAAATATCTATGGAGCATACATCAGAGCTCTGAGCAGATGCCCCTTATTCACTGGGGCTAAATGGGAAAAAAGATAGGAAGAGAAGTTAGTTTTTGTCAAGTGATCTGCATGTCTTCATAGTTCTGATCTTGAGTTCTCCATGTGGGTTCTGGGGCGTCACTGTGGAGAAGACAAGAATAGACCCACTGCCTTCCCAACAAGCATGTCATATGAGTCAACCAATTGAGGGCTTTCTTTGAAGTCCCTGTGCATATGCCCGGGTGGCAAGAAATAACCCACTGCATACAAATAAGTCAGTAAAATCGATGTACATGCAAAACTCAGACCTTGGCAAAAAGCTCAAGTCCATATGAACAAACAATCAGCAGCACTTTCTGAGTTTACAGCTGATGAACAAAGAAGTAAGAAGATCTTAAATTTATTTCTGTGGTTGTACAATATCAGTGATCACTTGTTATATATAGCATGTGAATGTTGCAACATTTCTTTATCTACAGGTTCTATGTGAAAGCTCTGTCAGGTTTTGGTGAGTCCTTCAAGTCAAACATTATCATGGCCAAACTGGCTAAAGACCAGGAGAGAGCCCCTTTACAAAAATTTAGATGGGGAACCCAGATGGCCCATTTTCCAACACCATTTCCCCCCCTCTTTTAAAATTTAAAATGTGGAAAAATGTCTCACCG